CTGACCAAAACATTCGCCAATTTCAGGTATCACTTCAAAACACCCATATCTATCGTAAGATGGGTCAAACATAGTCAATGTCAACTTAAATATCCCGACAGACTGGCATGTTAATAAGGAATTCAGCTTAAATTGAAAAATAAACCCGTACTTGCATTTCTATAGGAAAGCCATGAACTGTGTAAGTGATCACCTTCTCATGCTTCCTCTTGCCATCGCGAAATTTGCGAGCAAATGAGCCCCAGAATCCCTTGATGAGATGATTGTACCCCACTCTACCCCAATGGTAGGCAAAAAAGACATCCAGGTCATCGACGATCGAAAGTGTCGTGAAATCAATACCCACATTATTGCCCGAAGCGTTGAATACTCCTTCCATAATGAGTGCAAGACCTAGCTTGTATTGATCAGCCCGTGGGGTCGACGATCGAACTAATGTCTTCTCAATCTGGGCACAAGTAATTTTGTCGATAGCTCTAAAATACGTGTCATTTAGTCTCGTTTTTTCCAGCACTCGATGAAACCGATTGTCCTCAGGCGGGACAACGCAACGCAGGCTGGTCACCACTGCATACTCTTGCAGTCCAAATCGGTAGTAGTGTCCTTACACATTGAACTACAATTCATGCGACTTGTTTGTTCGGATGCCTCTGAAGACAAGCTGTTGGATGAGTTGGGCAGAGAATTGGATGTCTGGAACGTCGGCCAAAAACCCAAGGGACGACTCGTGGCATTGTCGGTCGTCGAAGTGCTCCAACGCCCTTTTCACGTACGTCAGGTTACTTCGTTGTGATATGCGTGCACGCAACCTTGCGTCTTCAGGAACCATGAATTCAAACTCCATCTCATCTGCAATGAAAACACAGTGGAAAATGATCAGCTAATCGTACCTCATAAATGTAGAAGCCAATACACACGGATGCAAACAAACAGCAATCAACGTATGTACGTCAAACATATAATGTCATGAAATTACTAAATCAAGGCAACATGATCAATCTGTAAAACGACATGTGACGAAAATTTCATGAGAAATGGAACATATGTTTATTTCATAAGGCAGCCATCTGCCGAGAATTACTGAAGCTAACTGTCAAGATCGACAGATGACCAATAACAAATTGACTCAACTGCCGAGAATGTCTGAGGATAACTGTCGTGAACGACAGTTCGCCTATCCCTATTTTACCCAATGTGGAAAACGATTGTAGCCAACTGTCGAGAAAGACAGAACACATGTTCACAAGTCACTCATAT